TTGTTGCCCAGGCTGAAGTTCAGTGGCATGACCTTGGCTCACTGCAACCTCTGCCTCCCGGGTTCAAGCGATTCTCCTGCCTCAACCTCCCGAGTAGCTGAGATTACAGGCATGCGCCACCACGCCAAGCTAATTTTGTATTTTCAGTAGAGACAGAGGTTTCTCCATGTTTGTCAGTCTGGTCTTGAACTCCTGAACTCAGGTGATCCGCCCACCTCGACCTCCCAAAATGCTGGGATTACAGGCGTGAGCCACCGTGCCCAACCTGGATTGCTTTTCTTCTGTACTGAAAAGTGCAAATATTAAACGCTATTTTGGAAGACATATTAAACGTAATTTATTGTCATTTATAATTAAATAAGTATTATTAAACCTAATTCAAGGAGTTTCTAGTTGCAGTGCTGAAATGTTGAATCTTATTAACATTAAAGGTTTATGTGTATATATTTTCCTTGACTTTGTAATACATAAATTTTGTCCTGTTTGTATTAAAATTCATCTAAAAGACCATAAGGAATTTTCCTCAGTGGTCATATTGATACATTATACTATTGTCACTAAAATTATTGGGAAAATCCTTGACTGGTATCAAATATAACACTCCCGACATTAACTGGGCTTTCCCCTTTCTTGAAATAAATGTCTTGTCTTAATCAAAAGACCTGTGCTGATTTGCTTATTATTCTAGAAGCTTTTGTGATCTCAGTGCCTCTGTACATATCCAGCATGCATATGTCAACGTGAAATGTAAAATGGAAAGTTTTAATATTAATTGTGAAGACTGTATTGATATTACTGTTTGTTTCTTATTGCAGAGGTTTGTATGGTCTGTGAACTAGAAGATCTCAGTGCTTCCATAGATGTCCAGGATGTATATACCAAAGTGAAATGTAAAATAGAGAGTTTCAATATTGATCACTATAGAAGCAGGTAAATAATGAATAATGAATATAAGAAAATCTGTATTTTTCTTTGAACAAAGTTGCTATAAGAGTTTTTCTATTTTAATTTGGCTAGCTATTAAAATAAATATTATACAGGCATACCTTGGACATTTTGGGAGTTTGGTTCCAGGCTACTCCAATAAAGTGAATATTTCAATAAAGCAAGTGACACAAATTGTTTGGTTTCTCAGTGTATATAAAGGTGTGTGTACACTACACTGTAGTCTGTGAAGTGTATAATAGCATTATGTATTTAAAAATGTACATACCTTAATTTAAAAATACTTTATTGCTAAAATGTGCTAATGATCATCTGAGCACTCAATGAGTCATCATCTTGTTGCTAATGGAGGGTCTTGTCTTGATGTTGATGGCTGCTGACTGATCGGGTGGTGGTTGCTGAAGGTTAGGGTAGCTGTGGCAATTTCTTAAAATAAGTCAATAATGTAGTTTGCCACATGGATTGAATCTTTCTTTATGAAGGATTTCTCTGTAGCATGCAATGCTGTTTAGTGGCATTTTACCCACAACAGAATTTCTTTCAAAATTAGAGTCAGTCCTCTCAAACTTTGCTGCTGCTGTAAAAAATGAGATTATGGAATATTCTGAATCGTTTGTTGTCATTTCAACAATGTTCCCAACATCTTCCCCAGGAGTAGTTTCCATCTCCAGAAACCACTTTCTTTGCTTATTCATAAGAAGCTACTCCTCATCCATTCAAGTTTCATCATGATATGGTAGCAATTCAGCCCCATCTTTAGACTCCACTCCTATTTCTAGTTCTCACATTGTTTTCACCACATCTACCATTACTTCCTCCAGTGAGGTCTTGAAACCCTCAAAGTCACCAATGAGGGCTGGAATCAACTTCTTACAAACGTCTGTTAATGTTGATATTTTTACCTCCTCCCATGAATCACGAATGTTCTTAATGTTGTCGACAGTGGCGAATCTATTACAGAAGGTGTTTCAATTTAGTTTGCCTAGAACCTTCAGAAGCAGCACTATCTGATACAGTTTGGATATATGTCCCTTCCAAATCTCATGTAGAAATGTGATCCCCAGTGTCAGAGCTTGGGTCTGGTGGGAGATATTTGGGTCATAGGGGAGGATCTCTCATGTATGACTTGGTGCCTCCCCACGGTAACAAGTGAAGCTCTCGATTTCTTAGTTCATGCAAGAGCTGGTTGTTTAAAAAGAGCATACACCTCCCCGCTTTCTCTTGCTCACTCTCTTACCATGTGACACACCTGTTCTGCTTTGCCTTCTTCCATGAGTAAAAGCTTCCTGAGGCCTCACCAGAAGCCACTAGATGATAGTGCCATGCTTGTACAGCCTGCAAAACCATAAGCCAAATAAACCTCTTTCCTTTATAAATTACCCAGCCTCAGGAACTCCTTTATAGCAATGCAAAATGGACTAACACACTGTGGCCTTACAGAATGTATTTCTTAAGTAATAAGACTTGTAAGTCAGAATTACTACTTGATCCATGAGCTGAAGAATGGATGTTAGCAGGCATGAAGACAACATTCATCTCCTTGTGTATCTCCATTAGAACTTTTTGGTAACCAGGTGTATTGTCAATGAACAGTAATATTTTCAAAGGATTTTGTTTTCTAAACAAGCAGCCATTCTCAACAAAGGGCTTAAAATATTCAGGAGACCATGCTGTAAACAGATGTGCTATCATCCAAGCTTAGTTATTCCCATGTGTAGAGCACAGGAGAAGAGTAGATTTAACATAATTCTTAAGGGCCCTAGGATTTTCAGAATGGTAAATGATCGTTATCTTCAACTTCACCGGCTGCATTCACCTCTAACAAGAGAGTCAGCCTGTCCTTTGAAGCTTTAAACCCAAGCATTGACTTCTCCTCTGTCTATCAGTCTTAGATGGCATCTTCTTCCAAGAGAAGACTGTTTTGTCTACATTGAAAATCTGTTAGTGTAGCCACCTTCATCAGTGAACTGAGCTACATCTTTTGTATAACTTGCTGCCACTTATCCATCAGCATTTGTTGCTTCATGTTGCACATTAATATTATAGAGATGATTTTTTTCCTTAAGCCTCATGAACTAACTTCTGCTAGCTTCAAACTTAACTTCTGCAGCTTCCTTACCTCTCTCAATTTCTAGAATTGAAGAGAGTTAGGGTCTTGCTCTGGATTTAACAGAATGGTGTGGCTGGTTTGATCCTCTACTCAGACCACTCAGACTTTCTGCCTATCAGCAATAAGATTGTTTCACTTTCTTATCATTTGCGAGTTCTCTGGAGTAGCACTTTTAATTTTCTTCAAGAATCTTCCTTTGCATTCACAACTTGGCACAAGAAGCTTTGTTTTCTGCTTATCTCGGCTTTTGATATGCCTTCCTCAGTAAGCTTAATCATTTTTAGATTTTTATTTAAAGTGAGAGATTTGCAACTCTTCTTTCACTGGAACACTTAAGAGGCCATTGTAGGGTTATTGATTGGCTTCATTTCAATATTGTTATGTTTCAAGGAAAAGGCAGACCTGAGGTGAGGGAGAAAGATGGGAAATAGTAGGGTCGGTGGAGCAATCAGAAAACACACAGCATTGATCAATTAAGTTTGCGTCTTATTTGGGCACTGTTCATGATGTCCTGAAATGATTATGATGATAACGTCAAAAATCACTGATCACAGGTCACCATATATCTGTATAATAATAATGAAAAAGTTTGAAATATTGTAAGAATTACCAATATGTGACGCAGAGACTGAAAGTCAGCATATATTGTTGGAAAAAATGGTGCTGATGGACTTACTCAATGTAAGGCTGCCGTAGACCTTCAATTTGGGTAAAATGTAATATCTGCACTATGCAATAAAGCAAAGCCCATAAAACCGAGGTATGCCTGTACTTATTCTCAAAGAGGGTTCTTAACAGATATATTGGTTAATTTTATTTCGTATTTGTCCATGTATGGAGTATAATAAAATTTTGTTTTATAAGATGACAAATCTGTTCATAAATATATACATTGCCATATTAAATGAAATAAGCTACTTTTACTAATAATCTTACATAATTTATTTTCTGTATTTTATATTTGCTTAGATGCCTGCAACATAGTTGATGGCTTTGATTTTTGCTGTATAATTCCCATTCATTCTCTATACCAGTATAATCATGCACTGAGATGGAGCAATAGCTCATTTCCTAAGCACTTTGATGACTCTCATCTCACAGATGATTATTATGTATATGGTGGATGTTCCTAGAACCATTGTTTCTGGCATAATAAATTTCTATCAAAAGTATAATTACATGCAAATATGCATGGCTTGTAATAGTAACATTAGTAAAAATGTTTTCAGATGTTTTCACAAAGCTCTGTACAGGTTTTATCATAAATTTTTCTGAAACAAAAATACAAATGCTTTTTTTTTTTGGCTTTATAGTAGTACAGTGATGCTTCTTTTTGTAATTGAGCTAAAATTCACATGCCATAAAAATTGTTTTGAAAAACAAATGTTTTTCAAAAATATTTTAAATAGCATCATATTTTCAATTTTGTAGTTTTTGGCTTAGAAACAGCCTTATATTTAACAATTTTTTATTGTGTGCCACCAGAAGCACCTTTATGTTTCTGTACATATATTGATGTATTATGTACTCTAAAAAATTATTTTTAATTTTCCAAGTTCCTAGTTCTACATTAAAAGTGTTTGAATTTTTATCCATTATTGCATATATCATATTGTCTGTCAATAATTATCAAATCTGTCACAATTATGGGATAAAAATATTTTGCTGGATATGTGTTAGGACTTCTTCTAATAGTATTAACTTACCAATCATATGATAATTATTTTTGTCATATTAAACAGTGAATTATTAATTGGCTTTTGATCATAGAATGTTCAACTCTTTAGTTCCTTTGAAATGGTATGTATCTGTATAAAAATGATCTTTGCAAGTGATAGTACAATATTATAGCTGAAATAATTTTTAATGTCATGAATATTATGTATTATGTTGTACTTTATCCCTGACTTTACTGCTAAATTTTTATAAATTATAAATATTCAGATAATTTATTAATTTATTAAAAATATATGTTTGTTGTGTGTGTGGTATGCACCAAGTGCTATGCTAAATGAGTACTGGGGATGTAGTGTTTAAGAAAAATAGCCTGGCATGGTGGCTCACACCTGTGATCCCAGCACTTTGGGAGGCCAAGGCAGGGGGATTGCTTGAGCCCAGGAGTTTGAGACCAGCTGGGACAAGATGGCGAGACTCCATCACCATATACACACAAAGAGTAGCTGGGCATGGTGGTGTATGCCTGTAGTTCCAGCTGCTGGGGAGGCTAAGGTGGGTGGATTGCTTGAGCCCAGGAGTTCAAGGTTACAGTGAGCTATGATTGTGCCATTGCACTCCAGCCTGGGCAACAGAGCAAGGCCCCATCTTTAAAAAAGAAAAATAAACATAGATGTTACTCTTGTGGAGGAGATGGAAGTAAATAATCAGCCAAATAAATATATAATTTACCATGAAGACAAATGTTCTTATGCAGAACTATCAGAGTGTGGTGCTAATGTAAATTGTTCTATTGATTGCATTGTCAGATTTATGTTTTAGTTCAATGCAGTGTTGTGAACTTTAGATGTATTTGAAATAGTTATATATGTTCAATTTCTTAACTCAGAAAAATTGAAGAGAACAGATAAGGTGAACTTATGTTTTCCAGGCCAGGGGAAGGTTGGCAGTCAGGACATTTTGAAGGAGTATTTCTACAATGCAAAGAAAAATCTGTGGTGAGACCCATTTAGTTATTATGATTTTTGAAAATATACTTTAAACTGTTTATCTTTGTTATTTAATAAAATAGGAGTAATGGTTACAAGAATTTGAGTTCAGAATAACTTCTTCTTAACCTGTTTCTTCAAAATTACATGTAAATTTAAAGCTATTTATTCTTTGAAGCTGCTCTTGTTTTGTAACCATCTTCCTGTTATAAAAATTAATTTATCAAAAAGGCAAAGGTAGGCTTGCTTTTGTTAATATACTTTATCTTTAGTGTACTATTATGTTGACTTTTTGGAATTGTTTCCCAATTCTTATGTGAGTTCATGCTGGATTGTTCTTTACCATAAACTAGAAGTTGTAATTTTATACTAAAAGCAATTATTTTTTGTTTACTTTCATTAACATTGCTTTTGCAGAAGATGGTCCAGGCAGAGGCCATACCTAGCAGTTGCTCAAATCGAAATTTATGCAAACTTGAGGAGAATTTAAAACTATCCAGATTTTTTTTTTGCTTATGGCTTTTATTGCTTTTTGTCTTTTCACCTTCTTTGCTCCTGTCCATCACCTCAAGCCTTGGGGAAGAGTGTTGGTCTTTGGGGCAATGTGGAGGTGTCTTCCTTTCCTGTACTGACAAGCTGAACAGACGCACCTTGTTGGTTCGACCCATCAGCAAGCAGGACCCTTTCAGTAATTGCTCTGGCTTCTTTCCTTCTGTAAGAAATTACTTTTAAATTATGCTACACGACTCCCATTAACAGGAACCCAGAGAAGGAATGGAATGATTCATAGAGTCAACTCTTGATTTGTGTTTTCCTCTATATCATAAACTTTATAAATGAAGTATAATGTAATTTAAAATCATAGAACTGCTTTTCCACTATAACCTGTTTCTGGGTCACTTGCATGAGTACAGACTAATTTTATCATCAATATACGGAAATCAAAGTAGTACATTCAATATATTTTTTAAAATTGTGCATGTATTGAATGATCAAGAGTTGACCAATACTGCTTTTGTCATTCCTCTAATGATTCTTAATAAGATTGCTTTTTAAATTTTTTTTCTATTATTATGCCATTGTTTTCTTACAACTAATTCAAAGTAACTTGTGTGGGACTTTCTTGAATCTGAACAAGATTGCATTTCTGTCATTGACTAGTTAGATGAACACAAGGCTATATCAGTGACTTTTAGAAGTTTAGAACCTTGCCTTTTCTAATGGTACAACATATCTAGATATGTTCTTAAGCTAATTCTTTTAACTGATATTCTTAAAGTTAACTTTGTTCTTAAATTTAATGTTTAATAGTATATTTGCATAGCAAGTGATATGTTCTGATTTTATTTTGAGCTTTTACTAGCAATAGTCTCTAATCATTAGTGCAGGGAAAAAAATGTGGCTTTTGTGTTAGAGGAAGTGTTTAGATTTATTTTCCTCTCTTTGAATGTTCATTAGAGTCTATGAAAAACATTCTTAATAATTTTAACAAATATTCATAAAGAAACCCTAAATTTATCATTAATGTTCTTCAGAAATTCTTTCTAAATGTATAAATTAAATGCCATTTAAAAAGTTTCTTAGTGTTTTTTGACATTTGAATAGTATAAAGTATTATTACTGTATGAAAAGTGATACTTATATTACCTCAACTAATGTTCATTTTTTCCCTCATTGTAAGGGAGTTAGGAATGCAGCAGTTAAAAAAAAACAGCACCCTTTCTTCATGTAGCTTACCTTTCAAATATGCTTACATTCCACGTGTTTAAAATATTTTTCCCAATTAAAACATTTATACATTGAAATACCTTTTATACTCTTTCCAGGATTCAAATGTTGCTATTAATAAAGATTTATTATGAATTAGATTTTTTAGATTAGTGGTCAGTACTAACCCTCTCCGCAGTTTAGACACTTAGAACAAACAACATCACTGTGATCACTGTGGCCTCTTCCACTGGGGATATACCTTAACAATTCGTCTCCATCCATTATTGCTCATTGTCCAGCAACATGGTAATAAAACTGGTAGCACTTTTCCTGCTTTACTATGCATCTTTTTGTTTTGAGTGCAGAAATAAAAAAGAAGGGGAGTCAGAGGAGAATTAGTGAAAATGTTGGGAACAGTGAAAAATGCTTTGAGAGCAGGCTGTTATGGGGAAAGATGATTATATTGCACAACTATTTAATGCTTACTTTCCGGGGTTTTTTTTAATGGTCAATTAAAAAAAATACGAAGATAATTTATTTTCTTATCTTCCTTCATTATAAAGTCTAAATTAAAAGCAAAATCAACAGTGGTAACTGAATTGCATATTTTTTCCTCTCACCACGTCAGTGGGTGATAGGCAACAAAATAAGAGGAAGAAAATGGAAGCAAAAGAAATTTAGGAGTGATGGGATAATATAGGCTCAGACTCATTACAGCTTTCCTATTTCTCTTTTTTTTTCTGTTTATGTGAATATATTTTCTTCTTTTTGCTTTGTTCCAGTTCACTTCTCCTCTTAAAAATCCCCTCTTTGGACCCTACTAACTTTTTCAGGTGTTGGAAAGAGGGGCAGGGAATGTGGAATATAACAGTTCTCCTCTAATTCTGTGCTGAGTAATTTCCAAAACAATATTTCATGTCTGTTAATTGGTTGAGGAAGATTTTTTTCAAGTGATATTCTTTTGTATGTTGAGGAATACGAAAGTATATGTTTTACTTCTTTAAAAGCATACTGTTTTACTATAACTTGTTTATAGTATGCAATTTGAATAGGAGAGCTAATTGAGATAGTTTAGCAAAAATATTGAAGTTATGATAATTATTTTACTCTCAGTTAAATGTTACATGTGTACTAATATAGTAGTATATGCAAAGATTATGAGTTACAGGATAGTGATAATTAGATTTTATAAACAATATGTTAGCTATTGATAATAGGCAAGTTCTGAAAGACAAATGTTATATTGTTGCGTCACATTACTGTTTAAATATGCAGTAACTGTTTAGTTCAGTTATCAAAGCATGGTATCAATGAGGCTTCTTTTATAGGCTCTGTCTTTGTATAAATGAGCCAAATTATTGAAGGAAAAACTCCATTTCCACAACTGTTATATCCTATCTAGTGAAGGTAATCATCTGGCCTGTTTAGATTTGGTCTCAAATAAAAATATATAATGTGGTTATTTCAATTTCACCTGAGTAAATAACCTTTCTGTGACCTGTGATACTTTTTATTACAGCCTCTTAGTACTCATAATGAAAAATTTTCATGAAATGAAAAGATAAAATCAAGATAGTCTTTTCCAACCTAGTTTTTTTGTTTGAGACAGAGTGTCACTTTGTTGCCCAGGCTAGAGTGCAGTGGCTCAATCTCGGCTCACTGCAGCCTCTGCCTCCCGGGTTGAAGCGATTCTTGTGCCTCAGCCTCCCGAGCAACTGGGATTACAGGCATGTACTACCACACCACCACATCTGGCTAATTTTTTGTATTTTTAGTAGAGACGGGATTTCGCCATGTTGGCCAGGCTGGTCTCGAACTCCTGGCCTCAAGTTATCTGCCCACCTTAGCCTCCCAAAGTGTTGGGATTACAGACATGAGCTACTACACCCCAGCCCCAAATTCTTAATGTTACAGAAAATGCAGAAGTCACAGAAATAGCCACAAAAAGATTAATTACCTTCCTCAAGATCTAGAACTGGAACTCAGGATTCCAACCTTTAGTTCAGTCATTCAAACCATCTTAGAAGTTTTTTGTCCCCATCTGCAGAATTGATCAGTCATGTGTTTATTAAGAAGTGTAGGGTAAGACCAACAGGTAAAAATACTCACTGAGATCATTTTCTTCTTTCCAATTTAAAAAATGTTTTTAATGAACTGTGTATTTTGATTTCCTTTTTCTGGAACAGACAACTACAAAACTTCTAGATGGCACTCATCAGCAGCATGGATTCCTCTCTCTGACATACACAAAAGCTGTAACAAAAAATGTCCGTCACAAGTTAACATCAAGAAATGAGCGAAGAAGTTTTCATAAGTTATCTGAAGGCTTAATGGATGGTTCTCCTCATTTTCTTCATGAAATTCTTCTTTCAGCACAAGCTTTTGATATTGTTCTTTATTTTCCTTTACTTAATGCTATTGCAAGTATATTTCAAGCAAAACTACCAAAGACCCAAAAAGAGAAAACAAAATCTCCTGGTCAGCCCATGAGGACCCATACACTGACATCCCGCAATTTACCTTTGATTTATATCAACACAAGTGTAATCAGAATTTTTATTCCAAAAACAGAAGAAATGCAGCCAACTGTTGAAGGTATTGTCTTCTGATTTTTTTTTGGTCTGATTTTAAATAATTTTCTTCTAGAGACCTTAGTTTTCTGGGGTTTTTTGTTTCTTTTAAAAAATATGAGCAGTTGGTTGTGCTTTGCGGTTTGGTATATTTTATAGAGAAGAAATATAGATATTCTATAAATCATTAGGAAATACATCAGAATACTATGTAAGTATCTGACTTTGTTAGTAGGATAAGAAATATGAGGATTTTTTTTCTTCAAGGCTTTTGCCAGTAAAGCATATATATACTTTGTGTCATTTGTTTTACTGAACTCAAATATTGGGTTCTATTTATCTAATAGAACTAAAATTTTGTTTAAAAACAAGGTCAGGCACAGTGGCTCATGCCTGTAATCCTAACACTTTGAGAAGCCAAGGTAGGAGGATCACTGGAGCCCAGGAGTTTCCGACCAGCCTGGGCAACATAGTGAGACCCCATATGTACAAAAATAAGATACTAGCCCAATATGGTGGTGCACACCTGTAGCCCCAGCTACTTGGCATATCATTTTTGTAATAAAATATTTGTAGAACCTTATAGTCCTTAATTACCAAGGTGTCTAGAACTAAATTCAATGTATTATACTCACAGATTCTTAATACAAGCCAGTTTCTACTTTTTATGTCTAATTTTTCTTAGAAGCGATCTTCAAATTGATTACTTTGAGATGTGAAATTACTATTCTCTGAATATCCTATATTCTGACAGTAGTATACAATTGTTTTCATCTGTTCAGATAGTTTGTAGAAACACATGGATGGTTATGAATAAGAGTTAGTCTTTATCGACCAATTACAAGTGATAAACAACTCGCTAAGCAGAAAAGTAAGAAGCTGTATATTTCATTGCAAAGGTAATGACGTTTATGCTTTTTCCTTGTTATGTAGGAGCACCTAATGAAATTTTAGATAGTGTAATTTACATTAAGGTTACATAGGTTAGAAAACAGAAATCTACATTTTTACACAGGTAATTCCCTGAGGATCATAGTTTCAGTTATAATAACATTTGTTCTCAACCTTGGAAGAGACACAGACACAAAAGATCGGGGAGATTATCAAACTGTTTTTGGCATTACAACTGAGAATGGGAGGAAAACACCATGAAAACAGTAGATTGTCTTTATTACACCAAATTTATCAGTGATTTGGGAGAAGAATTTGGGGTAGTTCATTACATTTAATAAAGACCATGGGCCGGGTGCAGTGGCTCATGCCTGTAATCACAACATTTTGGAAGGCCGAGGCGGGCAGATCACGAGGTCAGGAGTTCGAGACCAGCCTGGCCAACATGGTGAAACCCCGTCTCTACTAAAAATACAAAATAATTAGCCAGGCGTGGTGGCACGCACCTGTAATCCCAGCTACTTGGGAGGCTGAGGTGGGATAATTGCTTGAACCCAGGAGGTAGAGGTTGCAGTGAGCCGAGATACTGCCACTGCACTCTAGCCTGGGTGACAGAGCAAGACTCCATCTCGAGGGAAAAAAAAAAAAACAAAAACCATAATGTTACAGTATCTATTTTATTAAAATAAAATTACAGAAGTTTTATCTCTAGATAAAAATAAGAAAGTTTTATACTATATAATATAAAAAATTCTAAGTATAGTTTTTATACAAGGATATTGTTTTCCACAAATACCTCTCTGATTGGTATAAAATATTCATTTTTCTAACTTGTGAGTTCCTGTATTTCATTTAAAATATGTTAGTAGGCTTTTATGATTTTCTGAATATTTCTTGAAGTGTTTGTTTTATGTTCCCCATTCCTTAATTTTAAAATTATTTTCAGTTTAATGTAAATATTAGGGAAGGCCAAAATTTCATTGAAACATAAGAAATAATGTGTTAGAGGTGAGAGGTTGATATGAAGTATACAAAAATACAGGGAGAATCTCTGTGAAAAAAGCTGAGGAAATAGTGAGAGGCCATAGAGACAGAAAAGGAAGTAAAGCAACTTACCTGATTGGTAGACTTTTTTAGTAATAAAGAAATGTTCATGATTTATAAATGATTCTCAAATTTTATGATGTAATGGTATCTGAATAATAATTGTATAATGGACACTACATTTAGTCATTTATCCCATATTATTCCCTACACTGTTTTAATTTAGGGTTTCCTTCTTGAAAACCCATTTTACACCATAAAATATCAATTTCAGTAACAAGTTTAAATTTTTAAAAACAAACCAAATGTGTATGATTCAGTGCCTACTTATTACGTTTTAAAACTTGACCAAGAATATGATACAATATCAGTGTGCTGTTTTTCTGCATCTTTGACCAGCCGGGCTGAGACTTTTAAAATGGGTATTTAATAATGTATATACTGGTAAATCTTTCTGAATCAGACATAGCTGCTCCTCATTGTGGGCATTTGATCTATATTCAAAATTTTCTCATTTGTCTTACAATATCTTATCTATCTCATGTCCTGAAAGCATCTGAAAGTCTTTGGTATTTGTTAGTGAGGAAATATTTTTACAGTAAATTGCTCTTTCATTGCAATTAGATCTTCATTGCAGAGCTCCTTTGACTCAAATTTTTGTGGCAATATCCGTGAGAGAAACCTCCATGACTGACTTATTTTCACCATCCATGTCAGTGTTCGTCATAGCCTTTAGGTGGTCTTCACTAGAGGGGTCTTATTTATAGTGATAAATATTTCCTCCTAAGGCAAAATTTGCCTATAAATGTAAATAGTTTTCATTGTTAATTTGGAAACCTTTTTTTTTTCTCTCTTTTTTATTGTGGTAAAATATATATAACAAATTTTCTACTTTAATCATTTTAAGTATATAATTCAGTGACAATAATTACACTCACAATGTTGTGAAACCATCACCACTATTTCCAAATGTATTTGTCACCCCAAACAAAAGCTCTGTATCCATTAAGTAATAGCTACCCTCATCCTCTGGTAACCTCTAATCTATTTTCTGTCTCTATAAATTTTCCTACTCTAGAAATTTCATGTAAGTGGAATTATACAATGTTTATCCTTTTGTGTCTGGCTCACTTTACTTAGCATAATGTTTTCAAGGCTCATCCAAGTTGCTGCACATATCAGAACTTCATTCCTTGCTATAACTGAATAATATTGTTTTGTATGGATATACCACATTTTGTTTATTAATTAATCTATTGGGCAGTTGGGTCATTTCCACCCTTTTTTTGGTTAATGTGAGTAATACTGCTATGAACACTGGCATGGAAGTTTCTGTTGGAGGCCCTGTTTTCACTTCTTTTGGGGTGTACACCTAAGAGTGGAATTTTTAGGTCCCATGGTAATTCTGTTTGGAATTCTGTTTTTTGAGGAACCACCAAACTTCTTGAAAGCCCTTGTGGATTAGAGTACAATTTGTGGTATTTTCCGAACAATGCCAATATGCAGGCATAGTTTAGTCAACAAGAAGAGCAAACGGAGCTCATGCTTAGCATAGCAGCAGCTGTGTGCTGAGCACCTGAGCAGCTCTGTGGTGAGGCAGAAGTCTGAAGTTCATTGTTTAACTCTAGCTTTATTTTCTGTTACACTTACCAAAGGTTTAATGAAACAGGTTCTGTTTCACTGATATATTTGTGACAAAAAGATTACAATTCATTCTATTTAAGAAAGGTGAGGGAAAAAAAGAACAACTTTATTTTCTGTGGGGCTTTTTTTGTTTGTTTATATGTTTTTGTTTTGGGCTTATTGTGTTATAAACATTAATACTACATATCACACAGTTTTGTTGTTTCCTATTGAGTTGCTTCAACTGGGAAAATCCTTCAACTAATTTTAATTGCAGAACTGTTTCCAGACTTCTGCCATCTTATTTTTAAAGCTGCTACTGCTGCTGCTTCCGCTTCCACTTCTTCTTCTGCTGCTGCTGCTGCTTTTTCTTTTTTTGGTGGTGGCTATGGTGGGGTTTTAACATATAATTTCAGAATTCATGTGCCTAGGTACTTCCTAAGGTCACTTTGAATAAGAGTATATGAGATGGGGGAAGGTTGTTATAGTTGTCTTTGGAAAACATAATTTCTTTTGTCTTTCTGTGGACTTTCAGGTTAAGTGTAATCCTTTTCAGATATGCATATTTTTAGCAACAAACAACTTTTTAGTGGTATTTTTTTGTGTGGCCTGGATGTATGTATCTGTAGAATAAATTACCAGCAAAAGGATTGCTAGATCAAAGGATTCCATACCTTTAAAATAGTAAGAGATGTCAAATTACCTTCCTAAATGGCTGCTATTTCTTACTCTTACCCTAGCAGAGGTTATTTTTAGCCTTTTGTAGGTCTCATTAGTGAAAAGTACAGTGTTTTTTAAGGAGTTGCATATCTTTTCCTTATTAATACTTTTTTGTGTATTAATCCTTTTGTCTGGCATATGCATTGCTCATATCTTTACTTTTTTGTGTTCTGCCTTTGCGTCTCTATATCTGTGCATATATCTGTATCTTTATTTATAATTGTACCTGCATCTCTATGTATCTGAGGTGTTATAAATAGCCAGACTGTGTGCCTAAGCTAAGAATACAAATACAAAATGCATGCCAAAGTTTCAGATTTTGACACATTATATTAGTTTTTTTAATACTTTATCTTTCTTCTTTGCTACTCTTAATTTAAATAATCGTAATTTACCCATGAAAAGGTCAGAGAAAAAATTCTCATTGTGGTAAAATTCATATAATAATTTCACCATTTTAAAGTATAGATAATTCTTACATTATGTTTTATATGGGAGATTGGATGTGTCCATTTAATACATGTTAAAAGCTGTAATGCGGACTGTGGAAATCATGATTGAATGAGGAATTTCATTAGAAATAAATATCATCAATGACTCTAGTAAGTTGGAGTCAAGAGTATACTATTCATTTTATTCTAGAAAACCTTTACAAGAAAGTTTGAATAAGATGATTATCAGATTAATTAAATTAAAAATGTAGGCCAGGCATGGTGGCTCATGCCTGTAATACCAGCACTTTGGAAGGCCAAAGCAGGCATATAGCTTGAGCCCAGGAGTTTGAGACTAGCCTGGGCTACATGGCGAAACTCTATCCTACAAAAAATATAAAAATTAGCTGGGCATAGTGGCCTGTGCCTGTAGTCCCAGCTACTCAGGAGGCTGAGGTGGAAGAAGAAATTGAGTCCAGGAGGTCAAGGTTTCAGTGAGTTGTGATCACACCACCAAACTCCAGCCTGGGTGACAGGAGGAGACCGTGTCTCAAAAAAAAAAAAAAAAAAAGTATATGTAAGTTGTTTTGATGAGTGTGAAAGAATAACTAAATCTTGCTACAGCATTCTTTTCAGCAGAAACTTTA